CGCAGGCCTGGGGGCCCTAGAGAGTGGTCTGACTTAGTGCTAATATTTTCAAGCCAAAAACCTTTAAAGGCCATAGAAAGACGAACAGGAGACCCAAGAGTGTGAGCTTAAATAGACTCACCCAGACTTTTGCCAGCACTACTTTGGTGGGTTTGTATCAGCAGACATAGAAAGTCCCTTTAAGACACTCGTTTGGTCAGGTCCAGAAAGGTGCACCTGGGAAGCTGATCAGCCGCAGAGGGCTGCTGCAATCCCCAGCCTCTGTCCACTTCCTGGGTTTTGGTACCATTATGACAGAAATTACAGACTGGAATAGAAAGTGAGTATCGATCAATAGGCTTTGTTTGGAAAAGAAGACCCAAGGAGTCCTTCTAGACTAAAAGGGAGATTAAGGAATCAGAGTGAAGGAATGTTCCTTGAAAAGTAGCACAAAAGAGCTCAAAGCTTTTACTTGTGCCATGAAAGAAAGCCTCATATCTTATAGTAACAGAACTGATATTTCTGAAAACCAGAGTCTTATCCTCATATGGGCTGCAGTATACCAGTCTAATTCTCTGACTATCAAGTGCCTGATGTTATAGGGGGAGCACTGGTTGCAAAGAACTGGAACCTTGAAACCTGGAACATGCAGCAGTATCTTAGGGATCTATAGACTGACCATCCAAAAGATGGAGGCTTTGAGCCCCTAGACTATATTGAACCATCCAGCCACCAGCACTAGTCCACTCTCAGTACAACCATCATCCCCTCCACACGCATTTGAGGAGATTCACCCAACTCTGCCTGCTGAGAGGAGTGAGGCACGACTAGTGGTTACTTCTTGAGCTCCAAACAAGCGCAGCAGTTCCAAACCTAGCTCTGGAGAAAGATGAGGCTTTCTACCCTGTCAAGAGTTACAGTCTCATTGAGCAGGACCGACACTTGGAAGAATTGACCCAGGAAGGCCCCCAAGGAATCAGTCCCCATACTTGGGGTCAGTAGGGCCCAATTGAAAGGGAGATCATACTGTGCATGACAAAATCCTTGTGGTTGCGGCTCAAGGTGGAACTGAACTCGCATAGACTCCTACCAACTAAGTCTGGAGTGCTGGGTCATTGGAAAATTTGATGAAAATTGTACAATAGATTTATACCCCAGGGGGGTGAATGACAATGTTGTACTTCTTTGTTTATATGGGTTTTTGCTTTCCTGCTTGTAGCATGTTTTTGTTTTGTTTTTTCTTTTGGGGTGTGTGTGTTCTGTTTGTTTAGCTACTGGTTGCCTATGGCTACTATTGATGCAGTTAATATTATAGGGTTTACAAATCATATATCTGATAAAGAACTTATATCAAGAATCTATAAATAGCTACTACAACTAAATAAATAAAAAGACAGTGAAAAAATGGACAAAGTCTTGAATAGACTTTTTCCAAAGAACATATACAAATCACCAATAAGCAACTTAAAAAATGTTCAATATCATCAGCCATCAGGGAAATGCAAAGCCAAACTAGGAAATACTACTTCACACTCACTAAGATGGCTATAATAAAGGAGATGCAGATGTTGGTGAGGATGTGAAGAAATTGAATGACAGGAATGTAAAATGATGTAGCTGCTTTGGAAAATATTCTGGAGTTTCTTAAACGGTATAACATAGACATATGACTCAGAAACCTCCTCCCTTGCTATATAACAAAGGAAATGAAAACATGTCCACACAAAAACTTGTATATGAATGCAGCATTATTCCTAATAGTAAAAATGATAACAGCATTATTCCTAATAGTAAAAATGGAAACAACCCAAAGCAATTAATAATAGGATGAATAAAACATGGAACATCCATATGCTAGAACATTATTACCAATAAAAAAGAATGAGACACTGCCACATACTACAATATGGATGCTAATCACCAAGACCAAAGAATAGGCAAATTCATGAAGAAGAAATATTTGTGATTGTCTAGGACTAGACTGGGGAGAAATGACTACTAATAGGTATGGAGTTTCCTGTTGGGGTGATAAACATCTTCCAAAACTCGTTGTGATGGTCACACAAACACTGAATTGGGTTTTTGGATTTATTGTTTTTTAAGTAATAATCATAGAATTGAAAAATTTAATTAGATAATCTCATGGATACTCATTGGGTTCATGTACAAATCTAAACTCATAACTAATCTTCAGGTGGCACTGAATATTTGAAAGGGTTGTGAACGTATCAACAAGCATGACATTTAAGTCAATATCTAAGGCAAAAAGAAAAAGATGAATTTCTCAGCTGTCTGCAAAAAGCAGAACTGTTCTGGTAATGCCAGCCCCTGAACAAAACCAGAGTACATCTCATAGGAGATTTTAACCCTTTCAGGAATTGGTGGTCCTCCAGCAACAGGAAGTATTCTGCGATTGACAGAATTTCGGTGGAAATGCCTCGGCCTCTGGGGCAATGCATCAATAGAAAGGCTGAGGCACTGGCTGATTGGCTGTAGTCGAGGGGCTTTGTTCTGCCACTGATTGGCTGGTTTTCAGAAGCTTAGCGCTGTTGTTGATTTACTCCGAAGCATAGTTACGAGAATGTAGTTAACTGGCTGGTTTTCAGCAGCGAAGACATTGAGGTGAGGCTGTCCCTGAGCGGCCGATTTTCAGTGTGTATGTACCACGTGAAGTGCTTACCTGATCACGACTTGGGATTTGAACCCAACAGCAATCTTTTCCTTTCCTAAATATTTAAAAGAAGTGCTTTTAATTCCAGTGCTCTCTTTGGGTCTTTCCTCAGCGAAACCTGCAGGAAAACTGTCCAGATTTATTCCTGGAGGTAGAGTTTTCAGTTAGCGTTGCCATTTCAGTGATTTAAACCCCAATTTCTAATACTAGCGAAAAAATAGCTGGGACTATTTTTGCAATTTATTGGCAGAAGATGGTACAGGCTGTTTAAAACATCCTGACAAAATCAATACAGGACTCAGGGAAAAACCATCAAATAGTCATGGCAACGCTATCAAGGAGGTATTCTCCCTTCTGCAGACTTAAAGACGGAGACTCGGTGGAATTAACTTGGGCAGAGGTCCTCTGGGATCCTGTGGCCTGTAAACGCTCGTGCTCTGCGTAGGTCTGGGTGCACACTGCTAAGCGGAGGGCCGCCGAAATCCGCTGGGTTTTTGAAGAGAGAATGCTCCATTGAATAGCAGCTAGCACAGACACTGCAGCGAGGCCACCTCGGACGAGAAGCGCGACGTTTTCGTAACGCTTAATGATAACATTTATTATAAATCCATGGACGAATGTGACAATTTGGTTACATTGAAAAAACATTGCAAATTTTATATTTTTAATATATTTTGGTTGCTATATATATTGATTACTATGAAATTAAAGAATAAAAACAAACAAAAAAAATTTTTTCCCGAAATTAAAAATTCAGGCGTTATAGGGCTAGAACCCGAGAGGTGCTCACACCCAGAGGCGGAGCTGGAGATCTAAACCAGATGGGCGGGGCGGGGCTTGAGCGAGGCCACGCCCTGGGGTGCGTCCAAATCCATGGTGGGGAGGGGCGCGCCTGCAGAGTAGCCACCACTCCCCAGGTGGAACCTGCGGGCAGGGCTGGGCAACTGTATGGCAGCGGTCACTTTCCAGACTCGCTTCGGCTCTCCTGGAGGGTCCGCAGCTTAAAGAGGGCGCAGTTGTCCCGCTGCCCCCATCCCACGCCGACCCCACGCCCCCCCACCCCAGCGCTCCTTGCGCGCGACCGGCTCCGCCCCTTCTTACGTCCCCCTGCGTGCCGCGCCCCCCGCCCACCGGGTCAGCCCCGCTACCCCGCTACCCCGCCCGGCTAAAGCGGGCCTGAGCCGCCGGCTGGACGTCGGTCCCCTAGCAGCGGCACGGGTCCCCTCCTCTGCCCGGCGCCATGGATATTTACCCCCCGCACCGGCTGGAGACGCCTCGCAAGCGGCCCCCGGGCGGCTCCCACCGCGGCTCGCCTTTCGTCAGGTACGCGGGGGCCCCGGCCGGAGCGCGCTGCCCGGCAGGGGGTTGCGGGCTAGCGGGCTTCGGCGACGCCTCCGGCCGCAGGGCGTGGTCCGACATGGCTTCCTCGCGGGCCATTCTCCACGAACCGGCTCTCGGGGACTTTCTCCAAGAGCTGGGCCCTCTGTAGAGACGCCCACAATGGCTTCTCTGCAGACCACCTCTTAACGACTCCCTTGAGGAGACCCCCTACCATGACATCCTCACCCCTTAGAAGTTTTCCCCAGGCCCGACGCACCTTCCCCAGATACCCTACACTCGCACGTCTTCCCCATCGCGCAGAAATGGCTACCTTTAGAGACCTCACACACACAATAGATCCCCTGAGTAAAACCCGAAGTGGGTTTACCTATAAATAAAGACCCCTACTGCTGATCTTCTCTAGAGCGTTTCTCTTTGACAGCAGCTTCCCAGAATACACACACACACACACACACACACACACACACACACACACACTCTCCGCCCCCAAAATCAATTAATCTATCACACAATAGCAGCAGCTCCTCTATTGCGTATCTCCCCAACTCTGGGATCCTGACTGCCTGGCGACACCTTCCCCACCCCCAGTTCATAATAGTGAGGGCTCAGTTACCAGGAGGTGGAGGTCTTTGGGGTTACAGGAGACGAAACTGCATGGAGAGGGGATAGAGGTGCAGAATTCCCTGTAATGGCGTGATCCTGGAGACGGAGCCCCTGGTGGCTTCAGAATGGGTAAGATACTAGGGAGTACTTAACCGTTTCCACCAACACTCCCACCCTCCACTCCACCTCTCACCCCAGCCCCTTTGGGCCTTGTCTCATGGTAGGAAGATCGGTTTCCGATTTCCACTCCCAGTGCCCTTTGGGCCTGACCTTGATAGTCTGGGCATTGTTAGTGATTGGAAGTGGTGTGTGGCTGCCAGCAGGATGTGGAGGCCGGAGTGATGGAGGCGTTGCAGCAGAGGCAGTTGAGAGAAGGAGGTAGAAAGAGAAGAAAGAAATGAGCTATGGTGTATTCAACTGTCATTAGACCCAAAGAGGCTCTTTTAATTACAGCCAGTCAGTTAGGCAAATCTGGTACTCTTCCCTTGAAAGGAGATTGTCAGCTCACATGTTAGGACAGCTTTTCTTTTATTCATTCTTCAAGATGTTTAAGGCACTGTGTTTTAACATTGTAGTAGCCAATCTGCTTTTTAGAAACAAAGAACTAAATCTTAAAACCTTTTCGCTCTCTTAAGTCTTAGAACTCCCCCTCCCCCCTGCAATTAAGGCATATTTGTTGAATATGGGGGACAAGAGCGGTGAGACTGGATACGGAGGAAACCAAGCATGTATGAGTCCTCATTTGCTTCTTCATCGACTTCACCACAGTGGGTATAGGTTCATTTGCTTCTTATTTGGCAGGTGAAGGTGTTTGAATTGCTGCTTGGCCTTTCAAATGGGATGCCAGGGGGAGGGGGGGGGGCTTTACAGTTCAAAGCATGTAACCAGGTCTCTCCAGTCTCTGTTTCTGGCAGACAGACTAGTTTTGCAGTTAGAAAATATTTGAGCTTTGCCTAGGAACTACAGAGGAACTTTAGAACGGGGGTACACATCCGTGAAATCTAGGCTCTGTGTCGACATGGGTCATCACAGATCATCTTGAGTTTCAAACTCTTGAGACTACTCTTTCAGCCAGTCTTTGCAGCTTTTACAGACGATTCGCTTTAATGCAATACTATGTATCTAAAGTAATGGCTACTTTCATTGTCTTTAAGTTAACAGTGAACACCTTAAGGTCCCGTGATTTGAGCCTACCGTGAGGTGTCACAGAAGAAGAGCCTAGTAAGGATTTCAGCCAACGAAACCTTGTGGATGGTTCTGCCTGTAACCCCTGGGGCCACCAGGAGTCATCCTCAACTTTGATAACGTGGGTGGTGTTTTTGTTCCCCCTTGTTTTATTTTTTTTAAAGAAAGAAAACAACTCGCTGCCATCGAGTCCGTTCCCACTCATCGAGTCCCTAAAGTGCAGGGTAGACCTGCTCTCGTCTTTCCCCTGAGGAACAGCTGGTGACTCCAAGCTCCTGACCTTGTGGGTGGTGGCCTAAGAGGGTAACCGGCTCTGCCACCAGGCCTCCTTGTTTTAGTAGCATGCTCTTGTTGTTGTTGTTTTAGGTAGTCTTTTTATGTTAACAAAGGAGAATGTTGGCTGACATTACTAAGATTTCCATCAAGTGATATGAGTGAAACTTAGACATCGGATGAGAGGTAGTAGTCAAGGACCTCCAAGGCCTGGCTTTTCCATGCTTTTGAAAAAGAAATTTGGCAGCGTACCCTTCTTCCCCCATTTCTACATAACATACTTTTCTTAGCTATTCTTTTCCAACCTTTCCCTTGCTGTTGACATTGAACTTTCAAGCAGCCTGGGACTCAGCACTTTTCTCTCACCCATATTTGGCGCCTTTGCTGCATTCTCTTCTCTCTCTTTCTGTGGGTGATGAAAGAGGCAGGCCTAACTGGTGAAGTTACATTCCTGAAGACCCAGAGATAGGACTTGGCAGTGGAGCTAATTTTCGAAGCTGGGAAGAGATTTTCATAGATGGGCAATGCTGTTGCTCAGAACTGAAACCTTCCTTTTCACGTTATGGTAGTTGTGAGTGCTGCCCAATAAATATTTTTGTTCCTGCCCTTGCACTTGTTTGCACCTTGAGTATAGCCCTGTGAGTGGCTCTTGGCCAGTGAAATGTGAGAGTAGTAGTGATACCTACCGTATATACTCGAGTATAAGCCGACCCGAATATCAGCCACCGAGGCACCTAAATTTTACCACAAAAACTGCATAAGAAGTGTGCTGAAAAACTTGGCTTATACACAAGTATATATGGTACCTCTTTGTGGTCAAAGCGTCTGGTACACGATTTGCCATTCTTTTCCCCTCTGTCATCAGTACTCCATAGACCTGAGACCTACGATGAGCTCCAAGGTACTTTTGAGGGGGGCTACAAAAAAGTTTGTGAAAAAAATGGAATTAAAAGATAATGGCATTTTCCCACAAACTTTTTGAAGCCCTTAACATCTGTTTGACATATAAAGTAAACAAGAAGTAAACCTTTGTTGTGTCAAGGCTCTGGGAGTTTGAAGTTCTCACCAAGGTATAACCCAACCTGCCTTGATTCGTACTAAGTAACCATTGAACACCTAGCTGAAGTCTGCGTTCCTTTTTGAAAATAATTTTCTTTTTTTTTTTAAATCATTTTATTAGGGGCTCATACAACTCTTATCACATTCCATACATACATCAATTGTGTAAAGCTCATTTGTACATTCATTGCCCTCATCATTCTCAAAACATTTCCTCTCCACTTAAGCCCCCGGCATTAGGTCCTCATTTTTCCCCTCCCTCCCCCCTCCCTCATGAGCCCTTGATAATTTATGAATTGTTATTTTGTCATATCTTGCCCTGTCCGACGTCTCCCTTCACCCACTTTTTGGTGAAAATAATTTTCTATACAGGATCCACCCAGTTCCCTTGGAACTTGCTTAACAGTTTAAATGTCATTGTCTTCTTTATATAGGCCCTCTGGTGACACTGTCAGGACTTTTAACCACAAAGTTGATGGTTCAAACCTACCAGCTGCTCTTTAAGAGAAAGGTGAAGCTGTCTGCTCCTATAAAGATTTGTAGTCTCAGAAACCCTATATAGGGTCATTGTGAGTGGGAAGGACGTCATGGCAGTGGGGTGCCTCTTTATACAAATGAACCATTATCTTTTAATTCCATTTTCCCACAAACTTTTAAAAGACACCTGATACATTGTGGTAGGTGCTGTGAATTCAGACAAATATGACAGGTCCCTGCCTTTAAAGAACTCTTGTGTAAATGGTAAGAGACAAAAAGAGTAAAAATCTTAATGCAGAATGAAGAGAGACAAGTGCTGTGGAAGAAATAGTGCTGGAAGAATAAAAATGCCAAGGACATATTGTTAGCTTTGTCCTCAGCTGTTAGGAAAATAGGCTTCTTATCTACTGATAATGGGAACAGTAAGGAGTGGGTTGGAGAGGAGAATCAAAAGTTCCATTTGGGCCTTGTTCATTTTCAGTTGTCTAGTAGAGAGAGCTCCAGGAGGTTATGCATTGGGCTGTTAACCACAAGGCCAGCAGTTGGAAACTCCCAGCCACTTCACAGGAAAAAGATGAGGCTTTCTAAATCTGTAAAAAAGGATGGTCTTGGAAACCCAGAGGGGAAAGTTCTACCCTGTCCTGTAGAGCACTGACTCGGTAGCAGGGAGTTTGGGTTTTTGTATAGCTGTCCAAATGGAGATACTGGATATATTTGTTTAGAATTCAGGAGAGAAGGTGGGGCTAGAGATACCATCTCTTTTATTTAGCTAGTGTTTCTGTAACAAATACCATAAATGGGTGACATTAACAAACAGAAATAAAGTTTGTCAGAGTTGAGGCTAAAAGTCCAAATTTGGAGCGCCCACTCCCAGGGAAAGCTTTCTCCCTTGGCTGGTTGTAGAAGAAAACGTCCCTGTCTGCATGCTTGTGCCCCTGGGTGATCTCTCTAAGTGGTTTTTAGTCATTGCTCACCTGTGCCCCCTTCCACCACCACCCCCCACCAGCCCCCTTTATTTGCTTGTTTAATCTCTTTTTTCATCTGAAAAGAAATTGACTCAAGATATAAACCCTGCCTAACCTGTCTCATAGGATCCCTGTCTGCGTAGTGATTACATGTTGGGCTGCTAAGCAAAAGATCAGCAGTTTGAAACCACTACTGTTCATCGGGAGTTGCAGTCTCAGTGTCATTGTCACAAAGACAAATCGATCCCAAATGGGATTATAACCACAGGTTTAGGGGTTGGGATTTAGAACACATTTTTGTGGGACACAGTTCAACCCATAACATTCCATCCTTTGACCCCACAAATTTTTGTTTTTCCTACATGCTGGGCATTCACTGCCCCCCCCCCCCCCCCCCCCCCCCCCCCCCCCCGCCCCCCA